CTTGATTCACAGAGAATGAAGATAATCATCGACAAACATTCAGATTAATAATCACATAATCAACTTCTTCTTTCTCCTCTTTTAGTTTTGATTTTCTCAGGCTCAAAACACACACATAAAACTATTTAGTTTTTTTACTTACTTTTTACCATCCCATTGAGATAAATAAAAATATCTCAAATAACATACATAAATAATATGAACAAGGCGGTGGTGGGTTTTAAAAGTATAATTTAAGCACATATTCATTTTAAACCCCTCAACTTACCACCATTAATAAAAAACAATCCCGAACTTTGTAACCGATAAACCGGTTATCATACCTACGTATGTTTGATGTCACTACAATAAAATCGGGTTTATAGGACGCTCCTAATTTTTAAGCGTCCTAATAGACCTCTTTATAGAACCAAAAAATAAAATGTCATATCTAAAAGCGTTGTAATAAGTTTATATGACGTTTTTTTGACATAATAATAAGTTTTTTATGACACTTTTAATATAAAGCGTCTCATTAGCAACTTTATAGGACACTATTTGAAAAATTGTCATATATAAACAAGTGTCCTATAAAAAAAAATTGAGTTTATAGGACACTTTCTCAAAAGTGTTCTATAAAGTTGCTAATGTCACGTTTTGTATTAAAAATGTTCTAAAAAACTTGTTAAGATGCCTAAAAGCGTCATATAAACTTATTACAACACTTTTAGATAGAACGCTTTATATTTTGGTCTTATAAATTAAGTTCTATAAAGTGGTCTATTGAGACGCTTAGAGATTGAGGGCGTCCTATAAACCCAATTTTATTGTAGTGTGTATACGAGAATATTTCTTGCATATATCATTTTAAATAAGTTAATAAATAATCTAGGTTTGATTTGGGTTATTATTAACAAATTAATGGAGATTTGCAAAATCTATATATATATATATATATATTAAAGGAAGAATCATATTGTTGTTCAATGAGAAACTTTAGATCTTATTTATCTTTTTTCTCATTATTTTGGTTTATTTTTAATATACAATCAACACATTAATTGCTAACCCTTTCATTTTCCTATTTTTTAACCCCATTTTTATTATTCTATTAAGAAAATTTGAATCCACAAATATATAAAACTATATATAATTTTATCTACATCAATACATACATATTTTTAATTACATGAGAATTGTAAAATAAATCATCAAAAATTAAAGATAGGTGAAAATTTTGAAATACAAAACTACAATCTTAAATAATGTGGTGTAATGTAAATTATTACTGTTTGTAATTCATAAATCGTATTGCCATGTCCAACTATCCAACGAGATCATGCGGCTATCAATTAGTCAAGGCTTTAACTGTTCAACAATTTCGATTTTCATAAAATCATTAAAACATGCATTGTTGATCCAAATTCTTCAATATAAAATAGTCATTTTAAAAAGTATAAAAACAGAACTACTACAATCACTATTAAAAAAATGAATTAACTAACAAAAGAAAAATAAACCAAATACATATCTTTTCTCTTCTCTGAAATCTAAAACAAACAAGTAGGAGAGGCATGATCCGAAACTATATAGAAAAACTTCAACAGATTTACAATTTGTCGCTTTTGACCACCCTCCCCTTCCCAGACCATCCTTCCATTAAAAAAATGTTTCCAAGGCTTTTTAATCTTGAGGGGGATACTCGATGAGGGGTATCAAGTAGATTAGAGGGTTGAGTTCCGGTAAGAAAAAGAGTTAAGGTGAGAAACGTAAGGATCTCCACCCTTGGATGCATATTAGGATGAGATCTACCGAGATACACCTAAAAAGTTTTTTGTAAAACCTTAGGATAGTGAGGTGGCACCATGAGAATTGAGTATTCTAACATGGTGAATTTGTGGTTGAGTTTTAGTTGTCCCAAATTGGTGAAGATTTAAAAGATTTGAATAAAGTGAAGTGTATAAAAAGATGCATGGTGCCTTTGTGTCAATTCATGGGTTTTTCTTCATAAGGTCGTCTTATTTTCGATGACCCTCTTTGAAATCTATAACCATGGTTGGAACCAAACCAACCAAATGGTAAAAGTCATTAGTACAAACTAAAAGTGAAACCAATGATGATGACTTGGCAACATGAGGTTTGATTGTTCCTCAAATCTGAAATAAGGTTGACTTTCATCTTTTAACATTGGTAGAAAGATGATAGTTTGGAAGAAGATGATGGATGTATAAAAACGTGATGGAACTTTGAAATCTATAAGAAGATGATGGATGCATAAAAGCGTGATGGAACATTGAAATCTATAACAATGGTTGAAATCAAAACCAACCAATTGGTAAAAAATTTGTGCAAAACGAATACAAATCATATATATATTTTTCTTAACAAGAGTTGTGATTATTGGGATACTTATAATAACAAATGTAGTTTAAGTGTCTATTATATCACTTATATACATAGAATGAAAGTGTTGAAGTAATGACGTGCTTTCATCTGATGTTAATATTCAACAAATCGTGATTTATGGTGTTGGATGAGGCATTATAAATATAAATACAATCTAGAGTGTTCAGACACATCAGATGAGGCTTTTACGTTTTTTCTTAAATTGAGTTTTGATCACCGYGCAACGCATGGTGTCGAACAATAGTATAATTTATTAACACAATTTTCCATACACTTACACCAAAAGGATCTTGGGTTACAGCATCTTGGGTTACAGCCTTACAGGTGATCATAAAGATGCACAAAAAGCCCGACCTTGATCTCGACTCCAAAAAGCCCACACCTAGTAGGCCTTGGCCCTTACCATAGACCATTAAAGCCCAATTATACCTACTTTTTTAGAAAAAAGTTCAATCAAGCCCAAGTCTTAAAAGACCGTCTTGAAAAAGTCCAATCAAGCTTAAAAAAGCCTGAACCAAACCCAAAAAGCCTGAGTTTTTTGCTTACCGAAAATTAGGGGTGCGCAAAACCCGACCCAACCCAGAAAACCCGACCGAAACCCCCGATCCGAACCGATGCTTATTACTCGAGCCTACCCGATGTCCGAAATCCGAAAAATATATCGGGTTAGTCGGTTCAGGTAGGATCTTATGATCCATAACCCGAACCCGTCTGAAACCCGAAGAATTCAAGCAATCGCTTAGTTGTTTGCTGTTGTTGTTGCTGTTGTTATTTGCTATGTACGTATGTATGTTGTAACTGTTTGCTTATGTTGTTTGCTATTATTGTTTCACTGTTATGTATGTATGTTGTAACTGTTTGCTATGTATGTATGTATGTATGTATGTATGTATGTATGTATGTTGTAACTGTTTGCTATGTATGTATGTATGTATGTATGTATGTATGTATGTATGTTGTAACTGTTTGCTATGTATGTATGTATGTATGTATGTATGTATGTATGTATGTTGTAACTGTTTGCTATGTATGTATGTATGTATGTATGTTGTAATCGTTTGCTGCTGTTGTTTGTTGTTGCTGTTTCACTGCTATGTATGTATGTATGTACGTATGTATGTTGTAACTGTTTGTTGTTGTTGTTTGATGTTGATGTTTGCATACAAAGTACAACACAATTAAGGTATTATTGGTGTTATATATTGTTGTTGTTTAGTGTTTACTAGTTGTTGTTTGTTGTTATAAACTGTTGCTGTTGTTTTTAAGTTTTAACTATGTTGTTCTCCATAATTCATAGTTCATAACTCTAAGTGTTGTTGTTGATTAGTCACATTTAAATCTTGCACCATTAATATTTAACTAGTAGTGTACCCGCGCAATGTGGCGGGATGTGAAATTTTGAAAAGATGTAAACGGACATATCGATTACGGATAAAAATTTGTATTTTGTTCTATCAGGATGTATATTTGAAAAGATTTAAAAGGTTCTATCAGGATATATATTCAACTTCCCGCGCAATGCGCCATGATGTAAAGGTGCGCCATGATGTAAAAGTTCTATCAGGATATATATTCAATTTTTAAATATCATTTTTTTTTTTGCAAAATATCTTTGAAATAGTTTTATACAATTTCTCATTCAGAAAGTCTAAAATTTATGTTTAAACAAAATAGAAATTAGAATCATGTTTTTATCATACACAATCATCATTCAAAAGTTCTTGATACACCACATTTGATGTGTAGACTTCTTCCTAGTTAAACTTTTTGGTAGGTTTCACTAATACCTTCGTATTACCACGTGATATCTCTCTGGACAATGTCACGTAAAGTTGGCCGTGCGAGAATACCGATTCCGGTAGATAAACACCTACCACCGGAATTGTCTGTCCTTGAACTTTATTGATTGTCATGACAAAACAAAGTCGAACGGGAAATTGTTTTCTCGTTAATTTAAAGGGACACATATCATCTTCAGACGAACATAGAGGAATTCTTGGTAAAAATACCCTCTTACCAGCATGCTGACCAACAACTATTTCTGCATCGATATCATTCTGCTGAAAACCTCTACATATCAACCTCGTGCCATTACACAATCCATTTGAGGGGTCGATATTCCGCAATAGTATTATCGGACAGCCAATTTTAAGTCGGAGGTAATGAGGGGGCAAACCGCTAACAGTCAGTGAGTTTAAGAACTCCTTCGGATATAAATTATTCTTGTCATCTTCTGCTTCATCAAAACTATAGTAAATTTTTTCCTCTCCACAGAATCTTTCAATAAACTGATCATTAATCTTGTCGACATGCTCATTTTTAGTTGTTAGTATCGCCCTCGAAATGATATAATCTGAAGCAGTCTCGCAGGTTTGAAGAAAAGGAAAGATTGCATCAATTAAAGCATCATTCGATCCATTTTTATTTGTGTAAGGAATGGTCATGTCATCAGGTATGCGAATAAAGTTTCCGTCTACTGATTCTTTATCTCCATCGCCGACACGTAACAAAAAATCCGAAAACCATGGATCAGTAAGTGCTCTCATAATGATCGTTAACCGCAACTTTTTAATCGAAGACCAAATAGGTGGCATCCGTAAGTTTGAGTCTACGATCTATGCTCGAGTGCCATGTCTCATTACTGGCAACACCTGTCTAAAATCACCACCCATAATCATTATTTTCCCACCAAATGGGAGTCTCACCCCAGTGATGTATTGCATTGTTCTATCGAGTGTCTCTACTGCCTGCCTCTTTGCCATTGATGTTTCATCCCAGATGATTATTTTTGCGACTCGAAGTCGTTGAGCAGTTCTGCTTTGTTTTTTTATATTGCACACCAAATTATTATTAAGAGTAAGGGGAATCTTGAATCGAGAGTGAGCTGTTCTCCCCCCTGGCATGTTATTAGCGGCAGCGCCGGATGAAGCGGTTGCGAGAGCAATAAGTCCACGGGAATGAACATTAGCTAGCAAAGCTCTATACAAAAATGTTTTTCTAGTTCCACCCGGTCCATCTACAAAAAACACAGCTGGACAATCATTATCTACATGCCTCATGATCTCATCAAATGCATGTTTCTGGTGGGAATTTAGAGAATTTCGAGCATGTAAGTCTTCGTCTTGCACAATTATGGAGTATTCCTCTTGTACCTCACGAAATCCTCGTGATTCTAAATTGACAGCTGCATTTAAACTTGGAAGATCAAAATCATCGAGGTTTTTACCCATATATTGTAAAATGACTGCGATATTTGTAAGAACCATATTTCGGACTCCCTCAACATTTTCATAGTCTCGTCTATAATCTTCATAGAGTGAATCATAATGTTCATCCCATAACTTACGAACTCACAATAAATCAAGATCGTCACGAATAATCGTCTAAGAGCATTGGGAAACTGAAATGAGGAGGCATCAGCAAGACAATGCGATAAATTATCGTCGGTCTCTATTAAACCTCTCTCAAGAGCTGCTTTTCGAAATGTCGGATGTATTATGCCATTAACCGTGTAAAGATCTTCAAAGCACATGGGCCCACTAATATGAGACAGAAGTAGGCGTGGATGATATTGTTCTCCTTCGGCAGGATTAGCATGAAACAGTCGTCCTCTTATTGATTCTTGTTTTCAAGGATTCCATTTACGTGAACTGGCATTCCATGTGTAATGTTTCGGAAAATCTTTGTATAAATATTGTCTCGCACTCATATTTGTTCTATTCCTCTCAAAAAATGCGGTCAACATTGAGCTCTTGTCTCTCTCTATCAACGATATCTGTCATTATATCATTCTCTCTGAAACTAACCAGCTGCTTATTCGGAAGATGGACCTGCAAAGCCCTCACACGAGGGTGGATTTGAGAAAGTGAAAAGCTAAAAATCTTCCAAATTGCCTCAGGTGGCGAAACATATCGTGCATCTTGAAATCTCTTTATCTCGTTGACAATGACCTCTTCTCTATCAGGATCRAYATGAATAACCTGTTTGTCATGACCCTTGTAAACATACTTGAACACATATTTCACATATATTATTATATTTGTTAGTATATTATAAATATAAATTTAATGAGAACAAAACTAAATATAAATACTTTCACTTACGTTTCGGTCAAGAAGATAAGATATAGTTTTTTTTTCTTCCACATCTTCCCAAACAAATTCTACACGAAGAGTGGAAAAATTCCACCAGACATGAGATTGTTGTAATGATGAAAATACTTTGGTATAAGAAAGTGAATCCATTTTCTACAAATTAAAGATAGAATATGAAACACATATATTAAAAAAATATTCATTCTTTGAAAAAATATAGAAAAGAACGAATGATTTAATTCTATATACATATTATTTTTACTTGAAAAAATAATCCCTTTTTTTAATTTTCCTTTAAGGTAGCCAAAGTAATCCTAAGCCTACTCTATCCAAACCCAAGTAATTTACCGAATTAGGGGACCAAGACAAGCCAGCTTTTAATCCTCTATTTTTTATGTTGTTTTAGATCTCAGTGCATAAGATACATATGATAATGACAACCCTATATTATCCTAATTTGAAAATTGATATAGATATTGTTGTTTTTCTCTTCAAAATGTTTATAAACCATTCAATTTACTTAAAAAATAATAGTATCCAAAATTTATCAACAATTCAATTGTTCTGCTCTTCAAAACTTTATAAATCATTCTATTTGTATAAAAAACTTGTTCAAAAATATATTAACAATTTAGTTGTTCTAAATTAAGATGATTAAAATCACAATAAATCATAAATATCCATACATAAAATAACCAATAACAATAAACTGATCTTTGTTTCAAGATTCAAATGGGAAGTTGTTTCAAATTCAGTGCGATTTTGGAAGTGGAAGGAGAAGGAAGTATTTTTTTGGGCAAGAAAATGGATTGAAATATGATTTATTGGGCTAATTCTCTCAACTGAGCTCAAAAAGATTTAATTCATGAGGCCTATTATTACCTGATGGGCTGTATTACTATATCTTATGCCAACAACTTGGATTTTATGAAGAATGATGTGGGTCGTGTGATGCTGACTTGGGCCTCTACTTTGAAGTGGACTCATCCCAAGAACAATAAGGCCTTGGGGTTCTTTAAAATATGGTTTTTATTTTCCAATGTTGGGTATGGGTGTAAGCCTTTGTTAATTGTTTTTTCCCAAACATTTTATAGGATGTTGCTTAATTGTCTTTGTAAAAATGGATATGCCCATTTCTTTCTTATAATTTCCTTTTTTATTGAATAAAATTTTCCCGGGGGTTTCGTCCCCTTTTACCAAAAAAAAAAATAACCAATCACAATAAACTTTAGGATGTAATACATTAGTGAATATATGTCTTTCTTCTAGAGTTGTTCATGTAAAAATAATAAATATTTTTGTGTGATGGCAAACCATGACAGAATTTAAGATGAAAGAAAAACATCGATATAGATGTAACATGGAACAACAGCCAAGAAACAGAATTTAAGAATCATGTTTATAAAGAAAAAAGATGTCGGTTTAGGAAATAAGATGCCACAACATTTGCAGATTGAAAAGGGCAGATAACTAAAAGAAAAAAAAATCCATCGGTTAACAGTCATCCATTTGGAAGCCATAATTCATAATGTTGAATTGAAGTTTCAAGCACATTACTAAACACCTTGTATTAATTGCTTAAGGAGATGTTTTTGAAGTAAAGCCCTATCCATAGCGCATGGATAACTTTCATTATAAACTGCATACAAGGCAAAAATACTACATTTTACCCAAAAGACTCAAGAAAAATAAGAATTTTAGTCATCAGGTGTATGATGGATGATCAATTTATAAATGCTTAAGAAGGACTTATCTGGATGGAGCATTTGTACATGATTAAAATATGTGAATTAAAATAAAAGTATCTTGGACACTGAAAATTGGGGTCAATAATACTTCTAAATCCTTAATGGGAAACCAGATGCAAAGCAATTAACACAGTTAAAAATTGTCAAACCAGACCCTGCTTCCAAGTAGGACATACACTTGCTAAGTGTGTTTGGTTTGGTTTGGTTTAGGTTTAGGAATAAAGATGAGTGCTGAGAAATACGATCCTTCAAAGCATAGTTAATTCATTAAGAAACTTTGATATGCATGGCAAGGAAAAATTCAGATAATATAAGGAATACCCTTAACCTCTCTAGAGGGAATAGAACAAGCCATGAAAACTCTGTTCCTGGAACTAACATCTCCCTGCATTACAACTTTACCTAAGATACCCACCAAGAACCCATCATATATTGCCACAAAAATATGGAATATTCATGCAAAAGCAAAGGGGTTTAAAGGGGTAAATCTGGAAAAACAAAAACTTATGATGAAAGAAGAAAAGAAGAAGATGAAAGAAGATGCGCAATGTAAACAGGTTGTAGGATTATAGTTGATTAACAAATAAAATTGGGTGAAACATGCCATTTTCCCTGTTTTGTTGCATCGGAGCAGTTTGGTCTTTTGTTGCTCTTCGGTGGTTCATAACACATGATCATGGATATCCACCATTCAAATTCTGAAAGAAAAAAACAGCTAAACAGCTAAACAAGAAAGGAAAGAGGGTTACAATTGTTGCTGACTTTACATATAAACTGGACTACGATTCGAGAACACAGAATGAATTACTAATAACCTAATCATACAACAAAAGTCTTCATTTTAAACAGGACTACGATTCGAGAACACAGAATACAACTAATAACCCAAGACCTAAAAACTAAGGACAAAAAAGAAGAAAGGGGAAATATGATATGTTTTTGAAATATATGCTCTTCATTTTAAAAGATTTTAAAATGAAGGGGAAAAAGTTCAAAGATTTTATGCACTAATGTGTGTGTATGTGTGTGTATAAAATGGAAACCGGTTATTTGTAAAAACTTTCTACTTTTAAGGGTTACGTATTTAATCCTATAGTCATTATTGTCTAATTGAAATAGAGGTGAACAGTTTGTATCATCTAGCATGTTTATACATCAAATATGGTTCTGAGACTGCTGAATATTAACATTCATATCACTGAATACAACGCTAAAGTGTGAATGCATAAAAATGGAAGGGTGATGGAGGGTTTTAATTACTTGTCCCTGACCCTCAGTTGCATTGGACCATGATTGTAGTTGTATTACCTTTAATAGATAGCAATATAACAATGCAATATCTTCCAGCAGTGCATACATGATGGTAATACAGCAGGCACATGGGTGCTGGTGTTAGGATCAGTATACAGGTTTGTCATTATTGTCTAATTGAAATAGAGGTGAACAATTTGTATCATCTAGCATATTTATACATCAAATTCACATCCGATTGAAATCAAACAGTTTGTATCATCTAGCATGTTATTCCTGCAGCTGTCAATTTCATTAGAAATCAAACAGTATGATACAAGACTTGAAAATCAAGATTTTTTACAGGTGATTCAGATTAAGATATTGAGGATGAAGAAGCATAAATAAATATCCATTTTTATCAATAAAATTATAAAAACCAAGATAAAAGATGACAGGAAACTACCCACTTCATAAATTCGGGTTTCAAGTCAAATTCAAAGATAAAATCCAACAAAAAGTAAAATATGACAGGAAACTATCCATCATCTATAACACAGTAGATCCAGGTTTTAATAATGAATAAATGAAAGGGTATGTGGGAAATCGAGTACCAGAGAATATGAAGATCTTCAATGAAAGGGTATGTGGGAAACCTAGACTAGTCAATGGATCACCTTGAATTGAGTCTTGAGTCTTCCAACAATGACCTTCCAACTGCAGTACATAAAATCAGTAACCAACAATGAACTTCCAATTGGCAAAGAATGTAGATTTTTTGTATCATTATAAGCAAAGAAGGCTGCAGAGGAATATTGTTATTGTGCAATCTATATAATTGAGTGTAAAATACTGTTTTTTGAAGTATATATCCGTGATCAATGCAAGAATGAAAAAAAATGGACAAAGTGGTCAATGGGTCAAATAAGGAGAAAAAAAAATCCATTAGTCTATTGGTCCTCACTTTTTATAGGCTCGTATGAAACCATTTTGTTCAAACTTTATTGGCCAATATTGTGCAACTTCAGTTTTTAACAACATCTTCATTTTAAATTTATTGCATGGTTTGTCACGATTGATATTTATTTTGATCGTCTGTTGATATGACCATTGGTTAATAACAATTTGTAGACATGGACAGTAGCATGCAAGAAGGATGCTGATAGAGGAGATAGTAGCCATGGCAACAAACAGCTATAGAGAAAATGGACTTCCAAAGGGACCAAAAGGGCTAGAAGTTTTAGAAGTTCAAAATTCCAAAGAATCCCCAAGACTAAAAGGACAAAATTTGTAATCAACTTTTGCTTTGATCTGGAACTGAAATACCCCTCTATTATGGTGTTTGTTCATGAGCAAGTACCAGCTCTTGAGCCAAGCATTTCAAGCCAAATCCAATTCAATGAAGACTCAACAAGTAAAAGTAGGATGTATGGGATTCATCATTTACTTTTACTATACTTTATCATACAACAAATATCACCAAAAATGTAAACATTTCCTCATACAACATTTTTGTTTTTGTTTTTGGAACATCATACACATGAAAGAATTATTCGCAACTGTGCACAAACACTTGATTCATATATATACAATTGGTGTATACGTCTACTTATGTATATATAACATGTGTATATATATATGTGTGTAATATATATGCATGCATACTACCTTCAAGTTTTGTGTTTCTTATATTTGGTTGTTTCTTGTTTAGAGAAGTGATGGCAGGTGAGGAAGATATTCACTCATCAACCTTGAATTCTCAATTAAGCCATACAAAAACARTTTTGAAGGAGGATATGGAGCAAGGTCAGTCTCAAGTGGATGTATTGGAAGCAAAGCTTGGTGAGGTTACTTCATGTATGCAGGAATCTGGTGAAGATGCCAAAAAGGAATTGGAGGTTCTTTGACGAAGAGTAAAAACAACAACAACATTATTGACATATTTGGAAACAAAAGCAAGAATAATGACAATTCCACATTTAGCTCTTACCTTATGTGGCATCAAACAATTAGATGGGGAAGGGTTCATTGATAGGAGTGGGGCATTTTTATAAAATCAACAATTGTTTTAAAAAAACAAGACGTATAATTGAAATAGACTCGGAGATAGGTTGAGGCATTTTAAAAAAATCACAATTGTTGGGGTGGAGCAGCGTACTTGCATTTTTACTCCCATATTTGTTTTGGTATACACACATGGATGTTGGTGCAACTCCTTCCAAGACCAAGAGCATGGCTTTTGGAATCATTAACCCACCATAACAAAGAGATGTATTCTCTGCAAAGAATAAGTACACGGGAAGGTACACATATGCAAAGATCATAGTCACCTACTCTAATGCAAATGGTAGTGGCTGGGGGTAGGGTAGAACAGGGGTTGGCGTGTTGTCTTCATTCGTCATGCTCATCATTTACTTTTACTATCAAATATCACCAAAAATGTAAACATTTCCTCCCATATCATAATGTTTGATTTGGTTGTTAGCTCATAGTAAACACGACTAGAATTCACACTCAAAAACCCTAAAAAATTTTGAATGTTAAAAACAAACCAAATAATTACCTAGAGATGGAGATGGATTGAACGATTGAGAGAAATGCCTGAATCGTCGTATGAAGATGGATTGAACGATGGAAGATTGAGAGAAGATGGGAGGGACGATTGAACGATGGAGATGGATTGAACGATTGAGCGATGGAAACTCGCTTTAAAGGGAATTGTCATCTTGGGGAGTAAGAGAAACGCCTGAATCATCGTAATCGGGAGGGACGACTTGTCTGGAACGTCGTCTTGGGAGAGGAGAGCGATGGAAGCGACGTCTTAGGGAGGGTAGCCAGGTAAAGGGAAAGGGTTGAAAGGTAAAGGTAAAGTTAGTATAGACAAGGGTATCTTGGTCATTTAGTATTTTAAGATTTTAAGACTTTTACTAAATTTGCTTAATAAGGTAGTATAGTGTCACACCCYGCTAAAGCGGAAACACGAGATGTAACAGGCAAGCGAGTCATAGCAACAGTTAATAAATAACACCATTTCAAGTTGTACAAAAACAAATCCAGTTTATCGACATAACCGAAATTAGAATGAATACAACTTTCTCAAAATGCTCCAATTTCGGACTTAATCGATCTTGCCACGAGTATGCTTCCAAAATAGAACCAACTTTACTTAAATCCTGAAAAGCATGAAAATAAAACAAGGTCAACTACAAAGAGTTGGTGAGTTCACGGGTTTTCATATGCATAAAATGTTTCAATGTATAAACCAAGTAATAGCAAATATATGTGAATTCTTTGCACTTAATAAAAGTAAATCTCTCACGATGTAGAACTTGAGACGCTACTGAGCCTTACCTGACCAACTGCCCCATTAATTTTCGAACAACCAAAAGTAGCCCGTACACTACTTAGGTCCCATAATTCGATATAGTACTAATTCAGCGGTGGTCCAAATTCCACATGATTAGACCAAGAAAAACGTAGGTAATGTGCACCCCTTTCTGGGTGGGACTGTCAACACAATAGCGGCTATCCACAAAACCACGGCCCGGGGATGTACCCGAGTTAACAAGTAGCGTTTACGGACGGGGACTTTTATTTGGAAAAAAAATATACTCTCAAGCACATCAATTTAACATTTATTCAAAGTGCAATAACAGTTAACAAAAAATAGCTTAGAAAAACCCGACTAAGCAGTTCCTTAGTCCAGAGGTTTCAAGCAAAGCATCGACTAAGCAGTTCCTTAGTCCAAAGATTTCAACTAAAAACTTGACTAAACAGTTCCTTAGTCCAAAAGTTTCACATAAATAAACATGCAAAGTTTGCTTAATATCATGCTTTTCCCCCATAAAATAATCAAAAGCAGTAAAAGTAGGGCCGTGAGAACTCACGAATTTGATGAATATCCAGAGGTTGCCCTTAGAAGCTTTCTAGGCTTGCCCGAACTTCCTGAACCAACCAATATCCAGCGCTAAATTACTTAAAAGGTTTCTTGCCCAAGGTAAAGCAAAGTTGCTTTCAATGCAATGCCATCAAGGTTTTTGTAAAATAAAAGCCGATATTTTAATATTTACTTTTTAAAAGGAACCTTCCAAAATCCACCTAATGACGTCATCTTAGGTCATCCAAAACAATGATGACAGCCGCCAATTTCTAAAATCAAGAATTTTTGAGTGGGTTTGAGACTTTTCTTAAATACTCTACAATTTTGAGTCACACGTCCCCAAAACCGATTGCATGCACAAAAAATGACAGCAATGATGGGGAGGGGTCTCAAGCTCATCATTTTCAAGAATTTAAACTCTAGCTTGAGTCATCATCTTCAAACAAACTTCAGAAAATAAATTCCGATTCCAACGAGTTTTAAAGATAATAAATCTGATTAAAGATGCATGCAAGATCCTATCATACATAAAAWATRATCWGACCTCACATGCAAGGATTCTCTCCTACTTTCTTAGAGATTAAAGAACATGGATCATAGATTATCACCCTTCCGAAGACATTTGCAGGTCTTTGATGAACAATCTCCCCTCTTTAATTCCCATAAATTTACTAAAGAATCGAGKAGGWGAAGGAGAATGTAAACTTTCGGATTTTTATGAAAATAGGACAGCTCAAAATCATACATTTTCTTAGAATCTTGACAATTCTTAAGAGTAACAGAATCCTTTAAGACTTGCGAGAAGATAGAATCGGCTGGAAGGTGGTCGAGTTTAGAGGGAGATGACATGTTAAGCTGGGAGTTGGAAATGAGAGTTTTCAAAGAAAGAGGGGTATTTATATGAAGATTTTTTAGAGAAGAAGTGGGCTGGCCTTTAAAGGCCCAAGCCCTATAATTTTTTTTAAGTAATAAAACCCCTCTATAAATTATTTAAACAAAACAACTAAATAAAAGATTTTAAAACTCCATCCTTTAATAACATATTTGGCCAATAAAATGGGACTTTGGAATTTTTAAAATTTTTTAATATACAAAACCTAAAATATCAACTTTATTTTATTTGGAGGATTTCAAGACTATTTGGCATTGCACAAGTTAACTTTGACAGTTACCCGCCGAAACGTTATCTTTCAAACTAAACTTAGGAATTAAGCAAGATGATCTCTAATCATCGAAACTAATCCTAGAAAGACTTAATTCTCGATAAAGGTCATAAAATAAGGTACTAACCTGAAATTCCGAAATGACGGATTGTCACATATAGATACTGTTAATTTGTTATATTATTACTGTTATATACTGTTTGCCAAACAACTTCTGTTTCAAGATGTTTGGACAACTTTTGTTTCACGATGTTTGCCAAACAACTTATGTTCCAACTTTCAAGATGTTATATATTGCCAAGAATTGGCCCGAACCCGAACTACATATTACGGGTAGTGGTATTGAAACCCGATACCCGATCGGTTTAGCCGGATTATGGTCCGATCCGACCCGTGCTCATCCCTACTGAAAATGAGATTCAAAGTCTCAGTCCTAGGTCCGAAAAAACCTGAACCTTATATATCTCTAGTTGATAGTGGTTGACCAGTACATGAGGAGGCCTGTTGAACTCGTAGAGATCATAAGATTCAAAGTTGAAAAACTAGCTTCCTAAATCATATGAATTTTCAAACACGTAAAAAAACCAGATTATTCATAACAGTAATTAGATTACATATACAAAAAATTAATATTGACTTTATTCCATAAGTTTGTTAATTATTCGTAATTTTTATGTCTTTGATAAATAATTAAAAATCCCATTAATTTACAACAATTTATATAAAAAAGGAGTCAATTATGCTGCCGTCAAATAATAAATTAATTAACTTCAACAACATTTGAACGATGATTATTTATTTACAGGAACCAATCATTTATTTAAACCGTCATTGGTTGTTCAAAGGAAACAATATTTGACCCTTCTTTTTGCCCTAATGGAGGTCTAGAGAGAATTGAATTTTGCAGTCCAACACGGCGGCATCAACCCCCAAATCCTAGCGGAAGCGGTAATTGGGTTTGGTGTTTACGCTTTTCAATTATCCCTCTAAACCAAAGGCCAAGATCCCTCCACATCATCCATACAAATACTCAGCCTTGCTCCTCTCTCTCTTCCCCCTACCGGGAATTCAAGAAATTCATCAATTTTTGATATCATCGTCCCTTTTCTTTTTCCTGAATTTTGAAATCGTTTCATGGATTCATCGTCTTTCGCTTTTTCAAGAACGATTCCGTTTCTTTCTTGTATTCTTGGTTCTTCTATTGATCGTCAGTTACATTTTGTACGTTTTCTTATTCATCGTCGACCTTGTATGTCCTTCTAACGAGTTCAATTAGGAGCTGTCACCAATGGGTAAACAACGTAAGTAATACTTTTCAATCGTTAGCTCATCTATGATTTCCTAGTTATGTTTGTTTGGGTGATTTTCTTCGGTTTCAACTGAATTAGGGTTCTGTTTGATAGCATATCTTATTCGATGTTGTTTATTGCAATCTTAGTTCTTTCATTTGAATAATTGGTTTTCCAAATAAAAATCTAAAAAACCCAGTTGTGAATTTGTGATTCGTTCTTGTTTTGATCATACACAAGGCTATTTCCCCTAATTGGCTTGAAGTTTGACCTTTTACTCATGTATGAGCTTTAGTTCTTTAAAACCATATGATCTTTTAAAATCTGTTACTTTGATATGCATCTATTCATAAACTTGAATTATTTTTTTACCTTGGTCTTTTACTTTGTTTAAATGCATTCAAAATCATTTAAATCCAACCAGAAGTTTAAGATGCTAGGTGTTGTGGGCTTTATAGGTCGTAATCAGCGTAAGAGTGCTGCAATGCTGGATAGTGACGACACTGATAGTGTGAGTTCTTCGTCAACTATCCGGTCGGATCAAATGCTGGGGACTTGTGTGGAGGAAGTGCAAATTGATAAAGAAAGTGTGCTAGATCAAACTTTAGATGCTTTATATGAGAAAAGGTATTTCTTTTTTCTTTAAAATTTGAGAATGACTAAATTAGATTGATTATTGCACCTGTAGTTCTATTACAAATTAACCATCATCCTTACTAAAATGCAAAAAGAACACTGAAGTAGACCGCTCGAAGCAAATTCAGGCAATTTTCAATGGTTATCTTGTCGCAAAATAACTCTACACGATTGTTAGAATCACCAAGTATTGTTTTGCCTTTTTACGAGAATAATAGTTTGTTTGTAACAAAACTACAAGTCTCGAAAAACTCCTTCGCTCGGTTAAGAATGCAATCATTTGTAGAAAGAATTAATAATGTATTTTCTTGTAGGTTTTTTTTAGTATTTTTCTTGCTAAGAATGAGGAAAGCTAATAGGGTAAAGATATATAGAGGGCTTGTATATATATATTTCCTCTGACATGGTATCAGAGCAAGGTTCGGGGTCGTGTTGTCATCATTGATGAAAGTGTTCTTGTTCACTGCCATCTTCATTAATCGACTTCATCAATCGTTGCCTTTCATCATCTAACATCCTCATCCTCATCCTCAATCTCGTCCGAACAATCAACAACTTTTAGTCTCTCAATTGTCATCATCCACATTGCATCCATTCTTCCAATCGACGGTTTTTGGTCATCAAGTCTTCAAAATCTCAGTAACTCAATCATTGTCATCCGATTTTCATCAACCGTCATCCTCAGTTGATGTTCCAATCAGTTTTTGAGTGGTTGAAGTGCCAATCACAGATTTTCCGTCTTGAGCGATTTCTAAATTATTTTTTGTGATTGTCGAATCTAAAATTGACCTGACTCCTTGTCCTCACAAATCCATCCCAAAATTTAGCGACCTATCAAGAAAGAATTTGATTTCTTTGGGAGCCTTAGATTCCAAAGGTTTCAAGTACAACTGTGAAAAAGGAGTACTTCGGGTCTCTAAAGGTGCATTAGTGGTGATGAAAGGAGTCAAGAAAGGTACCTTGTATGTGCTTGAAGGCAACACGGTTGTTGGGTCAGCATCACCGGCATTTAGTTCTGATAAAAACAAGTCAGATTTGACACTCTTGTGGCACATGAGGCTGGGGCATGTTAGTGTGAAAGGCATGTTCATGCTCAACAAGCAAGGACTTCTTGGAGGTCATAAAGTTGCTGAACTAGGCTTTTGTGAGCATTGCATCTTTGGAAAACAAAGGAGAATGAGTTTTTCAAAGGCTGTCCATGATACCAAGTCTACTTTTAACTATCTACATGCTGATTGCTGGGGTCCTTCACAAGTTTCTTCTCTTAGTGGTGGCTGTTACTTCCTCTCAATTGTTGACGATTACTCTAGGATGACTTGGGTGTTTATCATGAAACATAAGAGTGAGTCGTTTGAAAAGTTCAAAGATTGGAAGGTTCTCACTGAAAATCAAGTTGGGAAGAAGATAAAAAGGCGGCGAACTGATAACGGTTTGGAATTTTGTTCGAATGAGTTTGACCGGTTTTGTAAAGACGAAGGGATTGCAAGGCACAAAATGGTTAGGCACACTCCATAGGAAAATGGAGTGGCCGAAAGGATGGATAAAACACTGCTAGAAAGGGTAAGATTGTGTGCTGTCAAATGAGGGCTGTCTAGAGTGTTTTGGGCTGAGGCGTTAAACACGGTTTGTTACTTGGTGAATAGGTCTCCGGCAATAGCAATTGGTTGTAAAACCCCTATTGAAATGTGGTCCGGTAAGCCAGCTGATTACACGAACTTAAAGGGTGTTTGGTTGTCCTTCGTACTACCATGTGAGTGAAGGGAAGTTGGAACCAAGATCAAAGAAGGGRTTGTTTATGGGATATGGTGCTGGAGTAAAAGGGTATAGAATCTGGTCACATGATGAAAGAAAGGTGATTCTCAGCCGTGATGTAATATTTGATGAAGAAAGTATGTTGCGTGGCGTACGGTATTTGTCTACTTCATCTACTTCAAAAGACCAAGAGGAGAGGGTCTCCGAACAGGTGGAGTATGAGTTAAATGATTATGATGAGGGTGAGAATATTGCTGGACAGTTTTGCAACTAGTTTTGCAACCTTTGTTTCCTATAAATGTTAGATGCACCCTTCTCATCATCTCAACCTTCTCCCCCTGAAATCAATATGACATCACTTATTCGTGGAGAACTTGACCATCTGCTTTTCCCTTGCTACGATCCATGTGCTTCTTTTTCTTTGCCCATTGCCATTTGCAAAGGTATACTTTGTGCTCATAATCTTTATCCGATCTATAATATTTTATCTTATCATTGTACATCTTCCACTTCCACATATTATGCTCATTGATCCACACTTCTTTTTATACTTTCTATCTTTAAGATCGTTTCAAGAGCACTCTAGCCCATCTAGGATGGAGACAAGCCATGATTGATGAAATGTCAACTTTAAACTCAAATCATACCTGGGAATTCATCCTTCTTCCACGTGGAAAATCTGTTGTTGGTTGTAGGTGGGTTATGATGGATAAGTTGATTGTTTAAGCTCACCTAGTGGTAAAGGGATATATACACAAGTTCTTGGTCAAGATTGTAGTGGTACCTTCTCCCAATTCAAAGATGTGCTCAGTTCGTTTATTTAGTTATAGTTGCCATGAAACATTGGCCTTTCCCAGTTCAAAGATGTGCTCAGTCGTGACCGTGATTTCTGATTTTGACCGCTATAACAACATCGTTCTCGATCATGTACAAAGGCTGAGTATCAACTATCAAGCTGTCTCATACAACATGCGAAATTTTGCGGTTGAGACATTTACTACAGGAATTACATTTATGTGAGGTTGGTTCTATGGAGTTTTTGTGTGATATCCGGTCAACTTTGCGTCTCTCCTCCAATCTAGGCTTTCATGAGAGGACGAAGCATTTAGAATTTGACTGCCATTTTCTTATTGAAAAGATTCATTGTGGATTCGTTAGAACTTATTGTCAACTCTAAAGATTAAGTTGCTGATATCTTTAATAAATCCTTACGGGGTCCTGGATCACTTATATATGTGACAAGATCAACGTATATGATGTATATGCTCCACTTTGAGGGGAAGTGGTGAGATTATGTAATTCGCACGAATTAAGGGATTGATTTACTCAAGTATTATTTCATAAGATGTAGGCACCGGATGCCTAATATATTGTAGGGTCTTTTATACATAATATTGTTATAAATTGATGATACATGGACTCGATAATCACTCGAAACCATGAAAAAGCTATTAATTATACAAACCATTTAGACCAATCACAAGACTTTGTTAGATTAGGTTCTATCACCATACAATTTTTTTCTTAACTTCACATTCATTAATGGGCGGTTACAAAAACATCAATCCCATGATTATAGCTAAAATAATATGTTTATTTTTTTCTCCAAATTATAGATGATTTGTTATTTTAATATGATAAGAAACTTGGATGTTCTATCTTCAACATATATGTAGTCGCTTGTTCATATGGTGTATATATTGTTCATATGTGTTCCAATGTGTTCATAAAACAATATCTATATACATAACATTTGGTCAATATCTGTTCACAAGCGAAACACTTTGATCATATATCATTGTGTTCACATGTGAAAGCCAATTACTTTAGTGTTTATGAGTTTTAATAGGTGCAAATAAATGTTCATAAGTGTTCCCGTATGTTCACATGTGAAAGCCACGAACTAAGATTAGTTAATAAGTTACATATATGTTCATATGTATTCATAAGTGTTTATAATGCAACATGGATGATTCTACGAACTATAAAGGGAATGAGCAATTACCGATTTGTAACCGATGTAATTAATTAATTATCGATTTGTAACCGATTTGGACATCTCTCCCAAAAATACCCCTGTTCATCTATGTTTTGATATCCTTCATTTTTAATTAATTACAAATAAGCCACAATGATCTCATCGACAGATTGTTTGCGAAAAAGATAAGGTAAAGAACCTATCTAAACAATCTAAGATACACACAATTACAAATAGCAAAGAGAAAATATTTTCTACAAGAAATAAAGGTAAGAATAAAAGTGCTCTTCACTTGTTTAAGGTGATTCTTTCTCTTAGACAGAGAATAGAGAGAGAAGTAACTTTTTGGGTAAGTTCTTAGTGAGGAAGATTTGATAATTGAGAAGAAAGCATTCAGCTATTTATACCCATTGCATTAAATGCAATTCAGAAGGTACAAAGCACGTGTCAGGCTTTTAGAGGAAAGCTTGTCCTTTGCTACAGTAAATAGTCTTTTTGGTTGTATATGAGTAGTCCTATTTTCATAAAGTAGGTAAGCATTATAAACGCAATGGCTCCATACTATACTATACTGTAGAAAAGGTATAGGTTTGTCCTTTGTGTGAGGGAGGACAAGACAAAAACAATCGTGCTTGGTAAGTTTCATTTTCACTGAATACTGGGATGACGATGAAAGGTCTTCAGTGTTCGCTGAAACTTGTGCAGACTTCACACATATGTAGACAAGCTTGTAATAACTGAATGCCGTTTCAGATCACGAACTTGCTGGTCTCTAATCTTCAGCTTCTGTCTTCGACATTGCTGAAGGATTTGTGGTGCGAGTTTTGTCTTCTTGAAGTATAACAGTCTCTGAAGGAATTACAATACACGTTCAGCGATCACTGAACATACTCAGTGATGATCGCTGAAACTGAATAACAGAAATACTATACTTCGATAGATAAAAGTACCATCATCAAATCAATGAGAGAGAGGATCAACACCCGCCGCCGATCACCATAAATCACAATCGACCCTTTTTCTGACAATTCAATACTGATAATATTTTTATTACACATAATATTGGCCTCATTTACTGCCAACCAGTCCATTCTCACCGCAACATCAAACTCTTTCATCGGTATTGGGAACAATTGAATTGGCAGCCTACACCCCTCAATTTCAATTTGGCAATTATTAAAAACACGGGTAACAGATACTTGACTATTATTACCTTCATTTCTAACAAAGAGAATATATATATATATATATATATATACTATTTATATATTGATATACATAAAGTATCTCCCGGTAAGATATATATATATGTGTGTGTGTGTGTGTGTGTTACAAATCCGATTGCATATTTATAATATCTAATTGCAAGCCTTATCCAAAAAACTAATTGCAGCACTAAGTGGAAGAACTGAGCACTAACATAGAAAAATATATATATATATATATATATATGACTATATGTTTGTGATTGTGTGATAATGGGAGAGATGGCACACCAAGGAACAACACTATTTATGCCTTGAGCATCACTATTTATGTTTGACTGCCTTACGATTTTCTAGTTTTTATTATTCAAATACATGGAGTCGGTCGCTTCAATTCTTCCCACCGCCTCACTGCCTCTCCCCCCTTTTCTTTTCTATTGCAAATTCTGGATTACTATATGATGATTTTGAAGACACGAATAAAAAAATCCGAAAGTTCTTTGTGGCGATAATACCAAAAACGAATCAATTTAGGTAGTCCTTTGTGGTTYCGGTGTGCCCACGCCTCTACTACCTAAGGCGTACTACCCAATGAAACCGTTAGAGGCACCGCCTCATATTGTTTTTTAGACGCCTCAAGGCGTGCGCCTCCCACGCTTTTCGAAACCATGGGTAAAATGTGAAAACATTACCGGACAACAGTTATAACTGTTAACAGATAAGATTTGGGAGCAATTACTCAACGTCAGAAGCAAGGAGTCCAGAGGCTGTGAGTGACCTCTGATCACACAGTCCAGAGGCTCTAACTTTGACACTTAAGTGAATTCGAGCAATGACTTTAGAGCTCTGTACATAAGGCTCAGAAGCTCCGAGTCCACACGCCTCTAAACAACACTTGGGCAATTTTCACGAAGTTTCAGCAATACTTCAATAAGGTTTCTAACCTTCTGAAGTACGTCCAGAATGTTCGAAACTCGAAATTCCTCAGTAAACCTTCTCCCCTTGGATCTCACTAGGGGCGCTGCCCCTAGGACCTCGCAAGGGGGCGCAACCCCCCTTGACATTGCTTTATGGCGATCTAAGGTGATAGAGACAACCTTTGTGAGTGTGCACTCCGCACCTCCTAACTCACTTCTGTTTGCCTTATCACCAGGTCGATCTCTTGTGAATGACAATCACACTAAAATGACTGATGACACTAAAATACCAACATATACAAGAAGTGAAATACTTTCAGTTTTATTTTATGAGGTTCATTAGAACTCTTAGGTTCCATTTGGTTTGTAGGTAAAGGACTTGGGGGGATTTGGAATTAAAATCCATTCCAATCCCGTGTTTGGTTTGCAGGATTGCTCGGATTTGAAATCCTAGGATTTCTTTGAAATCCCTTGAACATAGGATTTTGACATCTCATGGGGGTGGTGGGATTTCAAGGGATTTTGAAGGATTTGGATATGATAATATTTTTAAATATATTAAAAACATTTGTTTTCCAATAGTCAATTAATAATAAGATAATTCAATCATTTTTATAATTATTTGTAATTTGTTTTTACATTCCAGCCTAGTGGTAAGGCTTGGGCATAGCATAGTCATGAACCCGAGTTCGAGCCCTGGGAGGGGAATGTTGGCGACATTTAAGTGGGGCCATGTTTAGTCTCCAAAATTGCTGGGGATTAGTCGGGCTTTGGCCCGGACACCCTATCAAAAAAATTATTAATAAAGAATGGAATTCAATTCCATTTCGGATCCTAAAAACCAAACACACCAAACATTCCAAGTTCTTCCAAATCCAAATCCCTCCAATTCGAAATCCTTCTACGAAATCCAAATCCCTCCAAACCATTCCATCAAACCAAACGCCCCCTTAGATTTAACCAACTTCTATGGTTGTATATTTTTCATGTAAGCTTAGCTTACTCTAAAAGTCTAAAATGTGGATCATTGTTTATGAAAGTAGGAATATATTGGCTAGAAGAAATACTGAAGTACACACATATGCAGAGTCACCTTCACTAGTGGAATTTTTCTTAAGTTCTCAGATTTACTGTACTTCTACTCTAATTAAAACTGATCATTTTTTTGTGTTTAAAGGGGATCAACAAGGGAGAAGGCTTTGGTGGCGATCATAGAGGCTTTTAATAGCAGCTTGCCTCATGAGTTTGTCGAAAAGAAGTACGAACTTTTGTGCATTTTATGTTTTGTTTCTAGGTTCTTTTTATGGCTATTTATGGACATACTCAACGGTTTCAACATGCAATTTTCTCTGTTTCTGAATTCTTTATCAAAAGAACTCAGATATCTGTTTTGTTTATTTAAGAACGGTAATTTAGAGGGGTTTTAGGGGTAAATCATTCAATAATCTTCTGCCAGATTTTTTTGTTGGAAAAAGGTCTTCTGCCAGATGTTACAATGAACATTTAAATGGCTCATGTATTATTTGAATGCAATTGTACACCTGCACTGCTATGGCCATTGTTTACCCTCTAGGAAATTGGTAAATGATATGGAATGTGTAATTGACCAAAGAGGTGGTCGATGATCAAGAGGAATTCAAGGAATCAAAGAAATCCATATTCAGATATTATGTTGGCACTTGTAGAAAATTATGTATTTCATTATTTAGCAGAAATAATTGAGTATTTTGAATTTTAATTTTTTAGGTTAGTAAATTTTCAGCACGATAAGTATTATGTAAAGGTTATATTTGCAACTCTATAGTATATTACAAAAGCATTTAGGTAAAAGTCTTAAAAACAACTTATCAAGCATTAGGTATTGCTTGATAATGCACAATCCCTTAAATTTCAAGTTTACAAGTAATTATTGCATATGCTAGCCAGCCCAGGGTGATCCCAGGAACACCCTGGGCTTTGTAAAAATAATTATTTCTTATGCATCTCATGACCTGCAATGCAACCTTATATGGCTGGCTGATGTTTTGACTTTTAGATTTTCTCTCTTTCTATCTCTCAAGCAATTGTATATTTAATATCTTTTTTTTTTTATCTAAAATCTTCTCATTATCTTCCAATTGTTAAATATAAATTTTATGTTGTAGTATAAATATTACAACTCATCTACACTCATGTCTTGTAAAGTAAATTTTGTGGAGTAGTTATACATAATTATTTTTGGATTGATCACCTCAATAATATAAAATCTTTGTGTATATATTTTTATTTATGAATTTATATAATTACATTTAAGAGGACCACCCTAGTCGGAAATATATGTTTAATTTGACACCAAAATCAAATATATGTTTTAAGGTTTTTTTACCGGGTCTTCAGATTAGCAAAGACATTTCCACCACTACTTGTAATTTCTGTTTTATTTGAACATTAATTCGTAACTTTTTCTTTTTTAATGAAAAAATGCATTAATTTCCTATTATCAATTTACGATAAAAGCTTGCATCCCGCTACATTTCACGTGTACACCACTAATTATATTCTAGAAGGTAGTTGGTTGCTATGGAAAAGCTGAATATCTTTGGTAGAAGGACAATGATGGTGTGACGGTGGGAAGATATATTTATAGGTAAAGCATGTTGTAGTAATCAATCTCTTCCCTTCATCACTTTCAACTATGCTATAAAAATGATTAGATTTCAGATATCAATCGTACTTTCTCTTTATGGAGCATACGGTACAAATCATTAATGAATAATAATCCTGTCTAAATTGCCCAACTTCTAACTCGTGAATTGTTCTTGTATAATATTCCTCTTGTTGGAGTTGCTTGTCTCAACGAATCTTGTAGTGGGGATGATTCTTTCTTTAAGATTAGAATATAAATTAAATTGATAATTTATCTTAGATTTCATACCAAATTTGTGTCTGTTCAAGGGTTTTCTATTTTATGTAGATTACATACCAAGTTCTTTCTAGGATTTCCCATCATATCTCAGCATTAATGCTGCGGTCAAAGTCATCAAAGTTGCTATTTTTTCTCCTCCCCCTTCTCTTCTTTTGTTCCTCTCCGTGAACTCTTTTTCTATTGGCCTTAGGCTACTCCTTTTTATCTACAGTCGCTAATTTTGTTTCTTGTCTAACCAAGAAATTGTGATAGCTAAATTAGGAGTCTTTTTATCTCTGCATTACAAGGCATACTACTATTATATGGACATGATAACAGATATCAAAAAAGGGTGGGGTGTCTTACCACTTGGATCAGATGATAGTATTATTTGATTATTTATGTAAATTTTTTCTTGTATTTCTTCACTATGGGGTGCCTGTGTGTTTACAGCTGTACACATTTATTTATAATCACTTTCAAAAGTTTGAAGCGAGTCTTAGAGGCTGTTTACTAAGCACTTACCAGGTAAGTGCTTACCTGGTCACTTATCGGACGAACATTACAAGGATTGAGAATCTTATTCTCACCCCATAAAACAATGACAAGGATCGAGAGTCTTACCCGGTAAGTGACAGTAACGACTCTTACCCGGCAAGCTCTTACCGGATAAATTGATGCATACGATGCCGTTTAAATGGACTAAAATTTTACCCGGTAAGTTAAGTGAGTGTCGGTAAGCACTTACGGGTAAACATTGGGTAAACGGCCCCTTACAGTTCGATAGGGTCTATTTATTCACCCAAAAGAGACTGATGAAGCATATAAATCATGATTTGGCAACCGTGCTTTCAACTAGAATTATCAAATGACTCCTTGTACGTCGGAGCTTTGGTACAAGCAACCGCAACCATCTTTTTTATGGACCAAAATATTTTGCAATTTGAAGTGAAAGTTGTACCATTGGACATTGAACCCAATAAGTGAATTTAGTTAGCAGACAATTGATAAATAAGAAAAAATCTCAACTGAATCATAATTGGAACTTATGGCACAGAAAGGAGAAATCAAACGAGAAGATGGTAAACTTCCAATGAGGATTTCAGAGTCATGATACCTTCGTCTTTATGCTGTCTTCTCTTCCTTCAGTCTCGTATTTTTATAAGAAGGGAGTTGAAAAAAATGGAAGTGTGCAAGTGCTGAAAAACTTCTTATTGGAATGTATCTCAAATGATCCTCATATTTTTTGCTTTTCTCCTTAGATTTGCAACAATGCTGCATCAGTATCTGAATTCTATTAAGAAGGGTTCTGCAAAAGAAGTAGCCTTGGCATCTCATGCCGTAGGTATATATATTGATACTTCTATTCTTTTTGATGTAGGCTTAATCAGTTTAATTGATTGCTATACTCGAAATGTTCTATCTGTTCTAATAGGATTACTAGCTTTAACTGCTGGTTCTGGTAAGAAGGCACAAGAAATATTAGAAGAAGCAGTTTCTCCCATTTCAGAGGCTCTCAAATCTCGTTCTGATTCATCAAAGATAGCATCGGTATATATGCATATAACCCTGTGCCTCTTTATGCTTGGTGTCTGTTTAACGATATTAAACTGATGCATTATTTATTCTATTTTCTGGGCAACAACACTAGTTGCTAGATTGCTTGGCTGTGATCACTTTTGTTGGTGGAAATGAACCAGAAGAAACCGATAAGTGCATGCAAATAATGTGGCAAGTGGTTCATCCCAAACTGGGTCCGAATGTATGCATCTCTTTTATTTCTGTTCTTTTTTCTTTTTTGTTTGGCAAAATTATTTAGCTCTCTTAGTACGTAAGCTGTGAAATCATTGTTCTATTTGTTCATTAATTCCTTGCCTTTGAGTTTATGATGTGATTCTAAAGTTATGCAACTTTTAGGTTGTTGTCACTAAACCATCACCGCCTATAATAACAGCTATGGTGGTATCTGCTTGGTCATTTCTTCTCACAACAATGGATGGGTGGACACTTGATCCTAAAAGTTGGCAAGGGTAAGCAGATTTCTTCTCAACACCATGGTAGCCGATGGTTGTTTATGGACTTCCCGAAAAGCCACTACGACAAAATCGGTTTAATGAGATGCCCATATAGATTGTATAATAGGACTTAATCTTATGGGACCAAACAATTGTACGCCTTATATAAACGTGTTAAAATAAGTTGATAGGACAACAAGGTTTTTAGTACAATTTTGAAACAGAACATTCTGTTAGTCTTTTTTATCTGGCATTATTTGAAAAAGTATATCTTAGAGAAACAAGGGCCCTATAAAAAGATTTTTTCATAAGACACTTTTTAGAAGTGTCCTATAAAAAGCTAACTTGATGCTTTATTTCATTTATCCTAAAAACTTGTTAGGATTTCCTGATACGTCCAAACATCTTATTGTAACACCATTATATGGGACACACAAATGTTTAGTCCTATAAATTTTAAGTCCTATAAAATTGTCTATCAAGACATTTAGACATCTTTGACGTCCTATACATCCAATTTTGTTGTAGTGATCGGAACTTACAATGGAAGACTGTGAGCTAACATTTATAGAAACATGCAGGTCGATTTCTTATTTTTCTACTCTTTTAGATAAGGATGACAGATCTGTGCGTATCGCAGCTGGCGAAGCACTTGCGCTGATTTTTGAAATAGGAAATTTGGAGAAGTTTTATAGCATCTCTAAGGGTTCAAATGACAGCTCCATCAATGAGGGGAACAATTCTCAGGATGTCACACATATACAAGGGCTCAGAGCAAAAATCTTGAATCAAGTTAGGAACCTTTCTGCTGAAGCAGGTGGGAAGGGTTCTGCCAAGAAGGATCTTAATAACCAGCGCAACACATTCAGAGACATTCTGGAATTTCTCGAGGTACTTTTGTAACAAAAAAAGAAAACGAAACCAAACGAACCCAATATATCCCACACAGAGGTCGGTAGAGATGACAACGGAGTCGGGAGTACTGGGGTTCCCATTCCTCATCCCCGTTTCCATCCCGTTCGGGGAATGTTCTTAGATCCCTATCCCCGTCCTCGTCAGGGAATGGGGATCCCTTTCCTTCCTTTTCTTTTTTCTGAAAAATAAAAATATATTATAAGTAGATGAAGGGAAAATAAATAAATATATCACATTTTTTATTTTATTAAATATTCTTACATATCTTAAAATGATTTTTTTGCTTCTCCAAAACAAATATTTTAACCTTATTTTTACAAACATATTAATTAATTAAAATGTGCACCAACTTAAAATATTAAACCATGAATAATACGTATGCTATAAGTTAGATAAATATGTCATAAATCTTCACGATGTAGGATATATAATTTATTAAATATATATTATCTATTCTTTCATAACTTGTCGGGCGGGCACCCGAGGGGTGTCCCCATCACCGTCCCCACCCCGGTCAACTAGTGGATTCTCTGGTCAAACCAGGTTCGATTATCGGGCTCTTTTCCGGGTACGGGCTTTTTTGCCATCTTTAGAGCTAGGGTTGGAGGAGGTAGGATTTACGCAGACCTCTACGCTTGCCCCAAGGGTAGCATGGTCTGGAAAATCTTCATGCTCCTGTAGAATGGTTTTATTAACGATTTCATATTTCTCTGTGTGATAACTAGGATGGTTATAGTCCAGAAACCTCTGTGAAGATTGGTGGAGAGTCGCTTACCACCACCACGTGGTGCCAACTAATACAGGTTCATATAATGCTTTTTGTCATCAGGCCTTTTACTCTAGCTACCCATGTCTCTTGTCTTCTCAAATATCAGTATTTTTTGGCAGCTGAACTTTTTAAAGCGTTTTCTTCGAGGAGGATTCATCAAACACATGCAGGTTTGATTCTTTCGGTCTAAAAGCCTGTTATTTATATCTAAATGAGGAATGACACACAATAACACACGATATATAGCGCTTCTTGGTGGCAAGTAAATGATTCATTGGCTTCATGGTGAAGTTTGCAGCATGCAAAAATTTCAAACCACTAGGAAGTCACCGATCCACGTACATTAATAATGATGGCAATCAAAGAAGTTTGATGATTTTATCAATGTTCTATCTCAATTTTATGATGTTAATGAACGATTCTATGTAAACAGGAAAATGAATTCCTCCATGAGGTGTTTGACTTTGCACCAAAGAAAAAGCTTCTCTCAGGTGCGGATCGTGTGTCTGGAACTGAGAAGGTTCGTTTATAATATTACGCCTTAAAAGTACATCCTTCGTTTTTCTTGAATATAAATTTATGTTATATATATTGATTTTGGATTATCAACTTAGGTAGATTTGGAACTTTAAACCATTTTGGATATTTAACTTGTTGCAATAACATTGGTAATTGCATGAAACTAATCAACAAGGAATTGGGCTTTTGTGATATGTTAGTAATGAAGTTCATTTCAAAATTTTAACCAGGAAATATTTGGTTTGTCATAAAAAATCAAAGAATCTAAAATCAAGCCAAACCAAATGAACCTAATAAACCTCACACAGAGTAGGGTCTTGGGACCGTAGGATATATGCAGGCCTTCCTCTACTGCTAAGGGGTAGAGAGATTGTTTCTCCATGAAGACCCTTGGCTTGCAAAAAAGTTATGTGAAAAAGATCTCTCATTTTTCAAAGGAAAAAAATCATCATAACCAAACCAAACCAAATGAACCCAGTAAATCCCATACAACGTAAAGTATGGGGAGTGTAGGATGTACACATACCTTACCTCTACATGGGGAGTAGAGAGATTGTTTCCATGAAGACCCTTGACTTGTAAAAATTTATGAGAAAATGATTTCGAGAAAAAATCATTATGTTTAAATCATTTACGTTTTCCTTTTTTCTGTTCATTTAAATTTCTTCATAAAACATATGCGCCCTAAGGGCTTTCTTACACCAAGGAAGTCTCATTGAACCTTTCTTCGATATAGCAAGTGCAATAACCTACAAATGAAATAGAATTGATATAATAAATGAACATACACTAAATTTACTTGTTATTTGGAAGATGAGGAGGTTTTGTATTTGAATTTTTTATGATTGCTTGTCTTGGATGCTATATTTCATACTTTGACAATGTGAGTATATAGTTGAGTTCATGGTGCTATTAATAACTTATGTTTTCAGTTGCACATATAGAAGTGAAATGCACTTCTCATATTCTTGGAATTTGGTTTTACTTGCTATTTGATGCTTAGAATATTGTTCTGAATTAGAATAAAATCAATCTTCTTGATGAAATGTTGCAACCTTTAACCACATACATGGTTTAATAGAAGTGTTTGGATCTATCAATCAGTCTGAAATGCCTTTTTATATTGACAAATATAGAAGCCCCGTATAAGAAAACGCAATAGCGTTAAAAATATTATTGGTAGCGATGAAGATGGCAAATAGGTATTCGTCTTATAAACCTGCCATAAAATCGTCACCTCATGGGATAAAATGAAACGACAAATGTTGCAATCTTTGTTTGACCGATTGATTTTCTTTAAATATATTTCTGGTCCATGGAGTTCTTTCGGTGGAATGCGACAAGATGCCCACTTCACTCCCCCTCTTAGTAAACATGCAACACTTTTCTTTATGGGTCTTCTGAAATAAATGCAATATTTCTCGTGTTTTAAGTTCAAAGTTACGTATTTACCCGTTAGTGACAGTTACGAACTATTGGTAGCATTATTTTTGTCTCTTTTTTTCCTCCATCTTGTTAAAACACTTTCTATATGGTTTGACACCACCAATTCCATCTCTTGGCTAGTTTTGTGGTTTGTTGGCTCCATTCCATTTGAGTTATACACCAAAAAGGGTGGCTAATCGATGTATATTGAGAAAGCGACTGTAAAGCCTTCCAAGAACATTTTATAACTTTTTTGTTTTAATTATATTTGGGATGAAGGAATTATATGATTTTGTCCATGGACTGTGAATGGCAGACTCTCTCTCTCTCTCTCTCGAATTTAGTTTTTGCATACTTAATTCCTTATGAAACTCCCTTTGCTCTCTTTTTTCCCTTTCTTCTTGGAACAGAGGATGTACAAATCTCCAAACTCGGCTCTCAATAAAGCAAGGACTCGTTACCTGAACAAGCAGCGAATGTTGGCACAGGTAACCCTTCTGTTTTGCAGAATAAAAGAAATCCGTTTTCGTAAGTGTTGGATTCGGTGAAATATCGTATCATACGGAATTCTCTTTGAAATAGAAAATTGCACATTCACCCACCCATGTCTCTATGAGAAACCTGATGGTGTCTTTGGTACGTGGGACATGAYGGGATAGGATTTAACAAAAACATGTTGTCCTTTGACGCGAGATTAGACTAGGACATGATAGGGACAAAAATGCATTTTCTTTGTCCAACCAAAATAGGTGGAACAAAAATCAAGGAAACAAGACAAGATTGGTAAATTATTAAACTACCCATGTATAATTATAACCCTAAAACGTTCCACAATTCTTTCACCTGCCTATCTCACCATCACCCGTTCCATCTTGTCCAGTCAGTGTACCAAATTCCTCTCTTTTTCCACTTCGCTTTGTATTTTTGTTGGGGTTTTGTAGTTAATGGAAACGGACGGGTGGTTAGATGCTACTGCACCCGTACTCTAATTAAGAATTATAAAAAGATTAAAGTGGTAGCATTGAGCCAAATATCACTTGGGTTGTCGAATGGCCTTGATTTTCACTTGATCGTCTTTTTTGGTGAATCAGGATAAGAACGCGGGACATTATGCGCTGGGGTTTGACGAGGAGTGAAAGGCTGCAATGCTGCTTCAGATCTGGAACCTTATTATGAAAGATGGTTGATATATAAAGCAAGGTCAGAGTTTTGATAGTGGTAGATTTGAAGATCCATTGATGCATTGATCATCGATATAATATCTATGAAAACATGATATTATTTTGTGATTAAAGTGTTGCTTAAAAACTATGTTCATTCATTTACATGCAAATTGCAAGGTTTCACTTGTTGTATTCAAAATGATGAGGGCAAATAGATGGTAGACACCAATAAGGCATATTGATAGGGTTGTAAAATGGAGTGGATGTATTTATTCTATATTTGCATACGAATAAATAATTGGATATCGGTATCCGGATTTGACAGATCGTAGAAGGGACTTGCATATGTCTTAACTTTTTATTTAGATATCGAAAGCTTGTAGTGTATTTGAATCTAGATTATAAATTGTGTGGAGAGTGACGGGATAGCGGGTCAAATCTCAAGTTTTAGTTTTATTTAATAAATAATGATAGTTATTTTCTTAATTAATAATATTAGTTATCTTAAATTAGTGGTTTATGATAAATTTCGGATGTCGTAAGTTTTGGGTTCTTAACTTATTAATCCCATGTGTATATATATTGGGCCTGCATCTATTGTAACTGTTGATCATGAAATCAATGGTTCAGATTTTGGTTGCAAGAGTTGTAAGTTATAAAGGGGTTGTAAACTAAACCACCCTATATATGTGTATGTGTTCATGTGTATGCATCGTTGATGTTATGTGTATATATGTAACCTCATGAATTGTGTGTGTAATATATATACACACATGCATATACACGCATACTAGCAGATGTATATAGACACATGTACATACACATGTATACATATTAATTAACATACATGATACACATGTGTATATATGTATATGTATGTATATACATGCATATACATACACACACATACATGTGTACTAGCATATGTATATATACACATGTGCATACACACATACATATTAATAAACATACATGATACAAATGCATATATATGTATATATATATATATATGTATGTATGTATACATATACATGCATGCATATGCACCACACATGCACCCCCATCCACCCGCCCACACACCCATCCACACAACACACACACACATACGAATGATCGTGCGAGAATGAGAGTTAATGTTAGAAACATTAGAAGAGATTTGGACCATTGATCATCTTTAATCTCAAACTCACCTATAAATCGTGCTTGATACGGGGATTGATCCGATGCATCTCATCCTAATATGTTCCAAGAGAGGAGATTATTTCTTATGTTTCTCATCTTTACTATTTTTCTTACTAGAACCCAACCCTATGTATATATATACACACACAAATGTACACATACATACATAAGTAATTATAAAAACAATCATATTTAAGCTCGTACAACACAAAAACATAAAAAGACAAGACTAAAAGCTGCCGTTGATCCGTAACTTCCAAAACCATTTTCTTCCTTTTTTTTAAGAATTCAAGTTGGGAAGCTAATTTTATGTTAAAATGTTGAATTCTTTTTGAAAAACTAGAAGGGTATTCGCACAATGTATCTAGACACATCTTCATTTTAAAAGGAAGTAGATGAATCAACAGGCAGATGTATTGCATTTTGGAAAGAGGGTTGATGACTTTGTCGTTGAAAACTTGTTTGCTGGTTAAAGATTGGCTGGGTAGGGTGTTATTGGTAAAAATTGGGTTGGTGATTGTATGAATCATTTTGATGTTGTTATTGGAAACCAACAGGTTCATTCAMGGTTGGAGTATTCCAGAAAAAAATCTGGGTGTTGTTGCCACCCTGCATTATAAACTTGAGAATCAGAACAACCCCTGTTTTAATTTTCAAAAAAATTAACTGATTCTGGATTAGATGCACATTAATCAAATGGATGACCTCCTCCACATAAAACACATGCTATAGAATTGACAGTAGGATACGATGTTGCAGCAACAGTTCGCACATCTGAGCTAACATTCATATTCTTAATCATGTTAGTTATAGATGTGAGTTGTGTTGTAGGTGCATTATATGCAACTGTTTCATGTATCCCAAATGTATTATTCTGTATAAATGCATGTGGATCAGCCCAATATCCATTATTATTTGAAATTTTCTCAAGTATGTCATACTCCTCATTATAAGTACAAGTTGTGAAAGCTCATCCTGCTGTAGCATCAAACATTTGCTTAGCAACAATTGTTAGACCATTCTAAAACGTCTCTAGCTAGATCCAGTAAGGAATATCATGGTAAGGTCATTTTCTCAACAACTCTTTGTACCTTTCCCAAGCATTATGTGTTGCTTCATTATCCATTTGTCTAAAGAAACATATTTCATTTCTGGATTCTACGTTCTTGTTGAGAGGAAAATATTTTCTCAGAAATTTATTTACAAGTTCATTCCAAGTGATTATAAAATTTGGTTGTAAAGAGTTAAACCATAATTTTGCTCTACCCCTAAGAGAAAATGGAAATAACTTCAGGCTTTAAGGCATCATCAGACACCAGGGATAATAAAACAATCAGTTATTTCTATTAAAGATTTTATGTGTAAATGAGGGTATTCAGATGACAAACCACTGAACTGACCATTAGTCTGCAACATCTAAAACATGATAGGTGTGAGCTCAAAGTGAGTTTCCTTAATGTGTGGCCTTGGTATTTTTGAATTTAATTGACTAAAAAAAGGAATAACATAGTCCATGATTCCTCTATCACAAGAATCAGCAATGCGTATGATGTTCWCCATAATACTATCAGGTGGTAGAAAAATTAGTTGTTACAAACTTTACTTTAAAAGAAAAAACTTTAGGGTGCCTTCTCCAGCAATGACGCCAAAAACTTGCTCGTTCGATCTATGCAACCTTAGATTTCAACACAAAAATAGAACTCAGTGCAAATATACACCTTGAATTAATATCGTCTTGTAACAAGTAATAATAATACAAGTACTAGATATCATTCCCACAAAGAAAGCTTTGTAAAGTTCTTCAAAAGTCCAGTCTTTAAAAACTAATTTATGATGACAAATTCAAGGGATTTGTTTTATCTAAAATTAGAAGGTTTGATTAGCAACTAAGAAAAATTCAGTAGTAAAAAGAAGCACAAGGTGCAAAGGTTGATTAAGACACAAAACAGGTGATCCAGTACAAAGATGACATAGCGCACTTGCCACAGTTCTACAAAACCACATATAAAACCACATGATGGATTTATAGAACTATCACAATATCAACTACCTAGTCAGACGATCTCTCAAGAGTACACACAGGCTGATGTGATATCGATACAATATCATTTATGTTAGACGTCGTGAATCCTAGCACAGTACAGTGTTACCATCCTACACCGTAGGAATATAGTACTTGTCAGATACTAAAACTATTTATAGCCTTCTCCTATTACCGCATATTTTCTTATTTATCTTAACTTTGAAAGTTAAAGCATTTTCATACATAAAATTGGTTGTCAATTAATTTAATTCAATGAAATATTAATCGCCTGAAACAAATAGTTAGACTGTAATGCTAATAAGACACCTATGTAATATCCCATCAGCTTTATTCTTAATTTTCCCTTACACCCCAAGCTAAAGCGTTTAGCCCATCATTACTCGGTTTCTTCTTGCAAAGGATGTAAAGACTGAAAAATAAATAACTGATGTGTAAAAGTAAATTGCAGAAATTAAATTGCGAGAATATAAAAGACTGTAAATTAAAGTACTGGAATTTAAGGTGCATAAATACAAATGACATAAATTAAATTGCAGGAATAAAATTGCAGAAAAGTAAAGTACATAAATTAAAATACTTATTATTAAAATACTAGAAAGAAAAAGATTAAAAATTAAATACTGAAAATTAAAATTACTCTAAAAGAGATGACATAAAGTAAAAGTAAATAATAAAATAAGGAAACTTGCATTTTAAGTTAGAAAACATGCAAAACAAGTTTCGTTACTAAAAGTGAGGGAATACTTGAAAACACTTGGAAAACAGTTTTTTACTTAATGAATTTAATCGTGAGCCACAAAGGATGAAATTCAATGTATTTTGCAACAATAATCGCTTAACTCCAACTTGTAACTAAAATTAAAAAGCTTTTGAAAATTGCAAGTTAGAAAGAAAGAGATGAAACTTGAACTTAGATTAATACTTGAGAACAAACTACACTTGACGATTTCGATTCTTGTTTGAAGCAAGGAAGTCGAAAGCATTAGATAAAAGACTAGAGAAATGATAAAGCCCAAAGGTTAATGTGTGTTTTTAGCTTAGGAATAACTTCTATTTGTAAGGAGTATGAAGCTTACAAAAAGAAGGTAGGTTAATATTACAAAAGAAGACTTATAAGGAAAGCTATCCAAAAGCCCAAGCCCTAAGTTCTGTTGCTTTAATAATCCAACCCATGTTTTTGGCCCAAAATGAAAGTGCAGCCCACTGCCTACACTGTAGGACTGCTCCAATACCAAAAGCAGTTATGTAGAACTGCTAYAGGACTTGGCCAGAAAACCTCAAAAATTTGCATAAATGGCAAAATAACATTAAAATTATGACATAATACTACTAACATAATTCATATAAAAGCATAAAAATGACATAAAATGACTCAATTTAGACACTAATGGGCAAATAAAATAAGGAAAAATGATTAAAAAAATGATGTAATAAGGTTAATAAGTTAACACCTATCAGTCTCATTATCCCTAATGACTGAAAATGCAAACTTACATCCTACTATTTCTACAATCTCTATTCCTAAATAGTGTTACTTTGCCCCCTTGAACTTTTGTCTGGACATCAACTACACAAAACCAACTTATGTCAATCTTCGACCTCGATCATGATCTAGGTATCTCACCGCTAGTCTCATATGCCACCTGGCTCCCCAACTCGCATGATCACAGTAGTTCTTGGATCCTCTATAACATGGATCCAGTTTCAAACAACTATTGCATGGTCATGATAGTTCTTGATGACTCCAATTATATTTTTCAGACATATCACATGACCAATCATCTTAAGGCTAGTGCACTGTGAAATATATTACGGGTGTTGAAACTAAAACAATTCGAAGGAACCAAAGGGCCTTTCGCCTAGCGGTATGTGAGTCTTTGGCCTCCTAGGAGGTCAAGGGTTCAAACCTCACAAAAARTGAAGAGGGTGTGTGTGTTTATTTGTTCTAATTGTTGTATATAAATATTATACACTTAAGAAAACAATTCGAAGGATAGGTGAGCATGAAATTGAATTCATGAATATAGAAACAATGAAGGATTGTAAAAGTGGTTTGTTCAACTTAAGAATTGAGATTGAGAAGGAAACATGGGATTT